TGGCTCCTACACGATAATAAAAGCGTCGCTCATGTGCGAATGGGATTCAGGTGGACAGGCTCGAACACGCTCGGCATGAGGTGAGGTATGGGCTGTCTGGAGTTTAGGGCGAAAAGCTTGTCATCCTAGACATTCGCACGCTCCTTGCTGCTGGCGAGGAAGACCCCCTGCGTCAATGGCGCCAGGAACCACTTGGACGTACGCATTGCAAGTCTCCAGCGCGCTCATTTGCATAAGACTCTTGTGCGCGGAAAAAGGGCCATGGATCTCAAGCTTTCAGCATGTTCAGCGGATTTGTTCATGCCATGGAATTTGGAGCTGTGTGGCGTGAGGCCAGTCTCTTGTTCCGTACTGTATCTTCTACCTGATTTGCTCAAGTCAGATAACAGGCTTCTTAACGTGCTCAGCCTGCAGGACTCGTAATGTTCCCTGAAACTGCCAGATGCAATGACTGCGAAACTGATCATCGGGAACCACTAAATTTGCGGCAGCAAGCTGTCCGCAGGACCCTTTTTGCCCAGATGCGCGCATAGTCCAAAGAATTTTCGGGCTTCCACCTGTTTTGAGGACGGCTCTCAGCTGTCGAAATAGACCCGCAAAGGCCCTGCGTGGGCGGATTTGCCCAAACAGAACCCGCAAGCCAGAACCATAAAAGGCAAACCGCAGCTCACGACGGAGACAAGCCCGGACAGATCTGGCCCAACACCTAAATTCAGAAAGCCAAGCTGGCGAAACAGTTTGGACAAGTAGGGGCGGACATGGGCGGACACGAGCTCGCGGACACCAGCTTACCACGACATAAAACGAGCGAGCTTGCCAAAATGAAAGCAATGTTCAGTGTGAGCAATTTGAACCATCTGCATCTTTCGCGTTGCCGGACCATTGGCACTTAGAGGAAACCGTTGCTCCAGGACTCGTTCTGCCAGTCCCTGATCTTTCTCAGCTGCGTTTTCGAAGTATGTAGAACATGCGGAAGATATTGAAGAGCGATTGAAGACTTTTCTGTTCAAGGAGGGTTTGCATGTGCCGCCTTGCTGTGCCACATCCTAGCATTCCTGACTCATACGAATGTGTCTAACAGTGGGAAAGCCGTATCCCCGCAGGAACGTGGATGAAAAAAACTGTCCTAGCGTCTACCATGGCAGCTCCGCATTCAGCGCAACGACTCAATCAAGAGTACCAGTCGTGAATGGGAAGCTGATGCTACTGAAGAATTCAGTCACTGGCAGGTTCCCGAAAACTTACCCCGCACCCTGAGTCTCACGCCACCAGAAGAAAACGCATAGCACGATGTAACCGGTGTGGTGCACCTGGTGGTTGCAGTGCTGACTTCCAAAAACCCACAAGAGCTCGTCATTCCCTTAGTCCGCTAAGCTGTCTAGGGTTGCTGCGTTGAAAACATGCTGGCGTGTGACGAAGTGCTGTGCCCAGAAGTACTTCCAGAAAGGCGCGCGCCTTGCAGAGCTGTCTGCAAAGCATCTCGCTTCGGTCTTGCAAGCGTCAAAACTACATAATGCAGTAGAACGGCCTGTAATTTGGAATCTCAAAGGCTCCGTGAAGTCCTGCATGTAAAATGTAAACCTATGACGCTCGGGCAAAGCTAACCCGTTTTGCTTCACAGGAGAATGCGTGCAAGGTTGTACAAGCCAAAGGTCCACCACCGTTGAAAGAGATGAACTCATCAGGCTTGATGTTGCGCTCTAGGGGAGCAATGACCTTCAAAAAGTTAAGTCGGGGAGTTTTGACCGAGCGTATGCACTGAGTCTTGAGCTGATCGAGTGATCCGCGACAGGAGCATGCTTGATGCGCAGCCTGCGCCCCGTGAGCCCGTGGATGAGAACAAAACAACATCAAATTCACGCGCAACTTGCCTCCTCCGCGCAAAGCAGCAGGGTGTAACCAATCAAAAATTCCCACTTTGATGTTTGACAACTGCGGATTGAAACGCTCAGATGTGGAGCTCGGAGCAATCAACGTTAACGCACACAGCGTTTGTGCACAAGCACCAGCTGCAGGTTTTCTTCGCTGAAGACCATGCCTCCCTGAAAAGTGGAAGATTACAGCAACAAGAGCATATGTTACACTCCAAGCATTACAGACGCAAAGGAACCTCCCACACTTTGCAAAGCAAACCGACTTGCTCACTGCGGCACTGTGAGCATTTCTCTTGTGCATTGGGTCTACAAGCTCTGAGCCATTCCGATAATTGAACTTGACTGCAGGGCTGCATCCAGCAACGACGGATGAGAACTTAGCTTCCTCTCCCAATCATCGGCATCTTCCTGGATTTGGTACACCGCATATGCGTCAGCTGAATCATCTTCACCTGCCAGAATATGCTACTGCACTTACTCTGCTGTTGAGACTTGATAAGTCTCGTTTGCCTGCCGTTACACGACCCATGGCCACATCGACGGCTCGGTACCTAAAAAACTCGGAAAATTTGCCACTGACGATTTTTGTTGACATCATCAACATGCATCACAACGTCACACCCTACTGCACTTTGCAACATTTGCCTGGGGCCATAGGCGATGCCAGACAAGCGGAAACTGGTGTAAAATTCCGTCTTCTCTGCCTTGGCTCTACCTAATGTCCGCTGAGCTCCACGCTTACTTACACTGAAATTGCGACGACGAGTGCGAGAAGTGCTATGAACATGGCAGGTTGGTAAAGGAGGCTAGGCCACTCCAATGAAGGTGGCACCAACAGCTGTCCCAGACGTAGTGGCCACAGCATTCGCTTTGATGAAATCCGCAGATGTCCCTACGTCCCTGACAAGCTAAGTCACTGCACAAGCAGATGCCATTCACAGCTGCTCTGACTCTACTGCGCCTCCTCAAGATGCTTTTGTATATCTGGCGCTGCTCTGCTGTTGAAACAGGTGCTCTTGACACAGCCAGTCTGGCCTTAATTGCAGGACATGTCAAGTTGCCTGTAGCCGCTGCCATGAACAGTCAGGAAATCAACACCGCAAACAAAATAGTCCCAGTCGCATATCTATCAGCAGCACTGTGATACTGATCTGCATTCCGCTCCTGCACTGCCTGCGCCATGTCTTTCACGAGCTGCATGGCTTCAGGCCTTGCAGCACGCATGTTGAGCTCTTTGTCCATCATTGCAGCGCAGAAACATGCTTGCCAAGCTCACCAAATACGTCCAGAAACGAGGGCTGAGAAAAAAAATCCTTGAACTGAGAAGCCTGTTTGGTGCCAGCATTGGCTCGCCACGACGAGTGTACACCTGCTCCGCTTCCAACAGCTTAGCTTCTTGAAAAGTTCCGGTCGCCTCACTGAGGACCGCAGTGGCCGCTTCCTCTCCAAGCCAATCTCCAGCTTGCCGGAACGATACCAATGCCTCCTGGGCGTGCTTGGACGGGCACGACCACGCAGCAATTCCATGAATACGTCTGATTTAACTTTACTGAGAAACCAGTCCTGAGCAAGCACAAGGGTATCATCCAGCCGCCCAAAGTTACAAAGCAGCTTGCTGGCCTGCAAAAACTTTGGATGGACACAAGACAACCGGTGAGCTTAAGCCACAGCAGTTCTGTGACACAATGCTTTGCACGCAGCGCCTCGAGGTTCACTTTTGCCGATGTCTGGAGACTGATCTGCTGGGACAGCTGCAAAGCTTCCTGCCGTAGGGGCAGGTGCAGTGTCGTCCTCCATGTACATTTTCTTTCGGTTTGTCTTGAACACCTTGGGCGCCTTGCCGGTAGCCATTCGTTCGTTACATGGTTCTGAAACAGATCATCAGAAGCATCTTTTACCTCATGCGGCAAATCGGCGTGGAAGAGTTTGTCCTTTCTTGTTTTCTTTTCGGAGCACGCTCAAACTCATAAACGGCGCAGGAGTCCCTCGAAATTGCTGTCCACTTTTGCACTTTTGTGAGGGAAAGCTGCCAAGTCTAGCGGCAATAGCTCACTTCGGAGCAACGGCTCAGCTGTGGGTGGCTGGGTCACGGCCTCGAAGCATCTGCCATGGTTTTTGTCGTGCTTCATGGCGATGCACTCACAATGCCTGCTGACCTCAACAATGTGGGAAGCTATGGTGGGCTCTTACACTAATGGAAATGTAAGTCCGAAAATGGCCAACCTCACCTGCCCTTCAAGACCACAGCAAAGTAGGGAGACAGTCAAACTCTCAAACGGCCGCCGTCTGCTTACTGTGCGGGATGGGACAAACATCGATCACTGCCAGTGTCCCATTATAAACAGCATACTGCTTTCCGCAGAGCAAATGATGCTGGCTTCGAAAAATCCAGATTCGCGCTCCTACCTGCTATCTCTTTTCCCGGCAACACCCCCCAACACAACCCCCGCTCAAGTTTTGCATCTCTAACACAGCAACATCCAAAACCCCTGCTCTTTCAGCTTAAAGGTTCTGGCAGCTTGTCACAGGGCATCCGGACGGCCTAGTCCAACACGGGGATACACGGCATCGTGTTCGGGTCCAAATTGAAGGGCCGGTAACTCTCTACAGTGGAAGGAGGAAGTGGACGGAGGAAGTAATTGCACCAGGTCAAACACCCAAAGTACTCTTATTCCTGGGATATAATGTAGGGTACATGGGGTGATGCAACATTTCCTCTATCCCCAGTATCTCGCAGCGATTACAATTATCCCCGGTTGCTGTCAGCAAGGTTCAAGCCTAAAATGCCTAAAGATGCATCACCAGGAGGAGGTTCGTGCTGGCTCCATGGGTCTACACCAAGCGCTCACGCCCCCGGCTCCCAAGGCATGTCTAGAGCTATGCTAGCTCTGTCTTCGATGAGCCCAGTAGCAATCTCTGAAAACATGTAAATTCGAAAATCCATCTGTGTTTTTCTCACGGTCCCCATGCTTCAATTCCGTTTTCGGGTGGGCCGGCCATTCTTGAACCGGTTGCTTTCAGAAGTCCATGCACTTTCTCAGTGCAAGTCTCGGGATGCTGGTAGTCTCGGAGCGTTGGCGGTGTGGTCGGAGAACAACAAACTCAGCCCGGGCATCTGAGGTGTACATCATTTCACAAGCATTACTCTGCAGGTCTTACTTCTACGTCTCGATCCAGCATCACTGATTAGGTAAAAATTCCCATGTCACAGCACGCAAGCCAGTCCTGGATTGTGGAGAGGACCACATCATGGCCACTTCGCTCCGCCTTAGCGGAAAAGGCCACCTTTCGTAAGCTCGATTGTGGTGACTTCTGTTGCAACTTAAACGTAATGCCAGGCTGCAGCAAGAGTCTTGGCCAAAGCAGCTAGCAACAGAGCTTCGCCATTCTTGTCCGTTTTTTTCCTGAAGCTCACTGTGCTGACTGAGCCACATCAAATACGGCTGAATCGTTCAGCTTTATGCTGACAGCGCACCGCATTTGGGCAAGACCTCGTTCAGCAGCCTGTCGCGCCTCCAACACCTTGTCGCATCCGAGCAAAGCGTCAACCTGGAATGTTGAAGCATTGATTTCGTAGCGTTTGAAATGCCCAAGCGCCTGTAGTGAATCTGTGCTGCAGCTCTACAATCTTGAACGCGGTGGGATATCCACTACGCATGGAGGACCCAAGGATCCTTTTTGGTTTCACTCGTCCCGATGTCACTTCTGTTCTCTCCTTGTGTCCTCCTCTTTCTTTCATGCTTTTCTGTCTACTTGTCGCCAGAACCCTGGTCTGACTACGATAAAAACAGAGAAATGTAGCCAAAAAGAAAACAGGAGAGGGACAGCCATGGGAGGGCTTCAGGAAGTCCCTGGCGTTCTCTCAAGTTGACGATAAGTCTGCAGCGGCTGCGTCCCAATCTTTTTGGATTTCACTAGTTTATTTTTCACAGGGCCTTACTAGTTACTAGTATTTCTCTTGCAAAAAACTCACAGACAAACTCGTTTGTGGGCCAATACTGCATCGAAGTCTGTCTCGAAAACGCATGTTTTTTGCGCTGGGGGTGGGCTCACTGGAATGCCACACAGCAGAAAAATGCCTTCTTGGGCCAGTTGTGGGTCGTGAGGCAAATAAGTACGAATCCCAGACAAATCCAGCATCCTTGGCATTAAGAGGGCCTCGTTTGATTAGGTATCAAGGGCAAGAGTGCGGCTGCCGAAGCATGGCACAAGCATGAGGTTGATGAATTCAGATTCAACCGCCTGGGCATGATGGTGATACGTCTTTGAAGGTGAAAATTGTGCCCAACATCGGGTTCTTGCTTGCGCAGGCAGCACGAGCTCCCTCGCGGGAGCAAGTAAGGGTTTGAAGTTAAGAGGTGATGTTGCGTGAATAGGGGACTGAGCATAGGACCACCTGGGGTCGTCCGTGAAAGAATGTCAGTTTCATGTTTGCTCTGTACTGTAGGCCTTTCCTTGGTTGCCAACCGCATGAACGACCTGAAGAATTGTAAAGTACTTGAAAAGTGCAATCAAGGTGCCAGCACCTTATGTGCCGCAGCCAGACAAAGGTCTGTCTCTGCACAGAGTCGTACTGCTTCCCTGGCGGGCCTGCACCGCATGCACCAAGACTCAGCAAGGTGCGCAGCACCCAGAGCTTCGCCAAGAACCTTCCTGAATCCCTTGCCACGCCTTAATCCCTCTTGACAGGCATCTTGCGAGATCAAGACCTAGAAGTGACCAAGAATCAGTTCTCAGTCAGCTACCTTGCAAGTGAAAAATTCGCCAACAGCTGGGTGTGCGTCCTCAGCAAGCAGAGATTGGGCCACAGCTTCGCCAGGTCGGTCATCCATAGCACGCAAGGCCAGCAAAGCCTCCCAATCAGACAAAGATTTAGCAGATGCCGTATTTTAGGGTCGGAGCGTGTGCATGCTAGGAACATGGAAAGATCGTGCCTCTCTAGCACAAGTTTCTGCATTTGGCGAGGATACCATTTGAAGAGCGCGGGCCACTGCCATGCAAGTCTCAGCACGGAGTTGTCGATCAACAACTCGACGGCTGAGGCAGAGAGCACGTTCAGCGGCTGCAGATGCTTTATTAGACTCCCCCAGCCGCAAGTATGCATAAGGAAGGACCGCAAAAGATGCGTAGCATTCCAAAGACCTCTCAGGCATTCTGATGTAACTTCAAAGAAATTAGCATTTGGCAAGCTCAACTTTCCTGACCCCAACCTGAGCGACAGCCTTTGCGCAAGCGTTATCGCTTCTGTTGCAGCCCCAATGGCCGCCTGCCAGTTCCGGAAAGCCGAGAGACACTCTGCCTGCAAGTGGCTGTAAGTGCGAGCTAGCGTGAATGTGTTCACAAAGCCCTGGAAGCTCGAACGGTGCTGGGTAGCCCTTTAGTTTAAAAGGAGAGCATGACATGTTCGCTCTGCTTTGGAGGTCTGCACAACTACAAGCATGAGTTCATCTGAAACACTCGCCTCTGCAATCAGAAGAACTGCTACACCTTCCTGTGAGCCAGCGTCATGAAGCTTTTGAAGATTCGTCTGTGCCTTCGCCAGGCAAGACCACTGTGGATTGTCTCTGTCGCAGGCTTGGTGTGAACCCTTGGAAGGTAGGGGGGATCCAGTTCGCATCCACTTGCCTGTCCTTTGCAGCATATGTTTGTGAGTGCCGGCTGCGGCACTCATCTTGCTTTTAGAATTTCAGGCGGGCTTCGGCTAGGACTAGGGGGTAATGGGTTTGTATTTAGGGTCTTAAGGTTTGGGGTTTAAGGTCTTGGGGTTGAGGGAATAAGGGTTTGGGTCTTCAGATGTCTTTGGAATATAAGCTGAAGCTTTTAGGAGTTAGGGTTAGGGTCTAGCTAGGGTTTAGAAGGTAAGGTTACGGGTTTAGGATTTAAGGGTTTCAGAGTGTTTTGGCTTGAGGGTAATTTGGAACCAGACATTGTCAGGCCACAGGGTCATGTCGAGTGCATGTTCTGAGCGACATGCTACGTCTCACAGCCTGATGCTGCTACGGCCATCTACCACATTCATCCTCCCCACGCCGTCCGAGGCGGCCAAACTACTGAAACCATTCATTTCAGGGTTAGGTGCATCTTGGTCAGCCGTCAAGAGCCGAGCTTGAAGTAGGCGGTTGGAAGGAAGCTCTGGGCTCACCCTCCCAGAAAGGTTCGAGCACAACCCTCAAAGCCTTTATTTCGGAGGTCGCTTGGAAGTGAGGCCGCTGGAAGGCTGCCAGAGGCTGTGACTGCTTGGTGTTTGGGAGGGATTTAAAAAACTTGAGCTGCTTTTCTCAGGTGGTCCCGAAATTTGCTGGGGCTCCAGGGCCTCAACGACCCTCCCAGAGCTTTGAGCTATTTGGATATTAACCTGACAAGGCAACCAGTACTGGTCGCAGGCAAACTGGGCGCCGGTACCGGGCATAACGTAGGTGCTACTGTAATCACGTGCGAGCTTGGCTCGTGACCCATAGGTCGGCCAACATTAATTTATGGTTTTGTTTATGGTTTTGTTTATGGTTCAGAAAATGTTTGTGATTCTGGTTATGGTTTTATTTATGGTTCAGAAAATGTTTCTGATTCTGTTTATGGTGCTATTTATGGCCCAAATGATGTTTATGATTCCGCTTATGGTGTGTTACGGGCTCCGACATGGTATATAATGTATTTCAAGGTTTCAGGTATGAATTGTTGTAGGCACGCGTGTGCCCTTTCAGAATGTCTTTCCCATGAAGCTGCAATTCAGGAAAGTCTTGCCTCGCCGGCAGAGGCTCATGGCAGCACAGTAGGTGCTTGTAGTTTTTTGTTTTGGCCCATGGGTTGGGCGGACGTGGCGGCTAGTCTTTGTGAATGCTCCGTAGTCGAGCTGCGTGAAAAACGCAGCGAGCCGCTGCCAGAAGGCAGCGACTCTGACAGTGTGGTTGACTGCATTGAGGAAGCAGACGCTTTGCATTCAGAGACAGAGGGCGAGTGCTCGCAGGGCAGTGAAGGTAGTTCTCGAGTGTGGTGGGCGAAGTTACTGCGTCAGCACCTGGCTGAGCTTGGCTGGTCCTTGCCGGACGCCTTGGCAGAACCAGTTTCTTTGGTCAGCTGCTGTTCGGGGGCTTGCTCAGAAGCCGTTGTCCTCGAGGACAGTTGCGTTTGTTCGGCAGTTGCCAATGCAGCGAGTATACTGAGTACATGTAGCAGAGTGCTAGTTACGTTGTATCAGAGTCTCCATGGTGGTGCTGATTTTCTTTGTTTGTAGGTCCGGTACCCTTGTGCGAAGCAGTTTTCACATGTCAGCTGGCTTTTGTAGGAGTTGGGCATACCGTATACCTGCTGGAGCACATCCGAGCCGGTTGAGGCATACCGGCGCTTTCACTTAGCAAACCACCAGAACAACATTGTGCATCAGCACAAGAACCTGGACGACCAGGTGCACGGACGGCCGTGTGCATTGCACCCCGACAGATCGGGGTGTCAAGTACCTAGATCTCCAGGTTTGCTGGTGATCGGTGCCCCGTGTAACCCTTTTAGTACTCAGAGGGGCGACAGGTTCAAGGAAGGGTCGGTCTGCCAGCATGACTTGTTTAAGCTTAGCTTTGACGGTGTGGTCTCGGTTCTGAAAACATTTTCTCCAGCAAGCGTGGTTATGGAGACCACCGACGGCTTTATGAAGCCAGTGGAAAAGGGCTCCGCTGACACCCCGCTGCTGCAGCTCCTCGGCTGTATTTGGAGTGCAGTTGGGCGGCATCCATTTCTTTACATGGTGGGGCGGGAGCAATGTGTCGCCACGCAGCTCAGGTTCATTCGCTACCTCCGGCAGCAGAGCTTCAAGCACGGCTACCACGTGGCGGTGCAGCTTCTTGACATGAAGATTTGGATGAGCATCAGGCGCTGCAGGAGTGCCCGGCATGGCTTATCTGCTCTGAAGCTTCCCTAGTCTGCGGGTAGAAAGCAATTGGCGACTTGCAAGCTCGTGACAGCTGACAGGTGTTAGCGCAGGCCTTACAGAAGTTGCCTTGAGTCAGCCCTTTCTGCTTCCCTGCCCGTCGCATGGTGGGTGAATTGTATGTGTGGCTTCTGCTCTAGCAGGCGCTTTTGTTCCTGAAGCATTGACCTCTGCAAATCCGAGTTCACGAGAACATTTACTGGGGGAGCTTACTTAGAGTGGCATGTCTATAGTCAGGCATTGAAAAGATTGATGTGAATAGGACATGTCCACTTGTCATGGCGGATGGTTCTGGGTGGGCAGCAGTTGCGCAGCGCCTCGCAACGGCAGACGATGGAGTTGAGGAAGCTGCTCGGCGGCGGCTGGAGCATGCTCGCGGAGCAGCGCGGCTTGCATTAAATCCTGCGCCTGTTCGCGGACGACCGCGTGGCAGCCAGTACACGAAACCTGACATTGAGCAGCAATCGCTGCTGCTGGCACAGGAAAGATTAGGGCAGCGTGGCGAGCCTGCAGGAATCGTCGCAGACCCAGCCAGCCTTCCGGATCTGTCAGTGGTCCCTGGCCAAATTAGTCGGCCTGGGCTGCTTGGGTTGCTTCCGCTGCTGGGCGGTGCGCAATTCTTCTCAGGCCCAGGCCAGGACTTTGACTGAGGCGGAAGCCGAGGGTGACAACCCGGCCGAGATGCTGTTTTCCAGAAGTGGTACGTTAATGAGCACCGTCGTCCAAGCTGAACTCACAGGCAAGTCTCGGAAGACCGTGTCCCGCAGATTACCGCAGGTGGCTTCTTCTTTGGTGCAGCGCGTGCGAATGCAGTGGACTGTTCTACTCCGTCGGGCTCTGCACGCCATCCAAGTGCAAGGGTTCAAGGGCTTGCTCCTTGGCCGCGTGCGAAAGTATGATGAGAGCCCTTTCACGTTGCGAGCGCTGGACTCTGGAGAGCTTAGACAGCAGGCCGGCAAGAACAGTTCGAGTAGGGAAGGGCATGCTGGCTGCACTGCCAAGGTTCTGTCAACGAAGCATAGGATATTCATGCTTTTGCGCGCACCTCCAGACGGAAGCCAAAGCTCTCGCTACATGCTACTGCATGGAGATGCCCCGAGTCGGCTGCATGTCATTGAGAAGCAGACAGCCGAACATATCAAGATGTGTCAAGAGGCTGTCATGGAAGATGTGCCGATCCCAATGGAGCTGGCGGGCAAGTTTGGCTTCCGAGTCTCCTTTCCCTGCACGGACAGGTTCAGTGGCATGATCAAGGCGGAGAGGCTCCTCAGTGAAGGCTGGCTCAAATCACACAGCTTGTGCGCAGCGCACAGGGCTGCGTCCGCCCAGGGTCACATGATGGAGTTGGTCAGCCCTCTTGTCACAGGAGTGCTCTCCTCTGCTTTGGCCATGCAGAAGGCCGGCGCAGCCTCTGAAGTCAGAGAAGCCTTGTGGAAGATTCTGCAGGAACGGCTCGTGATCTTGCACGGGCCGCCTCTCACGCAAGAATACCGCAGTGCTTTGTAT